ATTACTTTCTTCAGTGGTGTTTCTATCTCTTTCTAAGGTTTCCATAACTTCTGCAGCTACACACTGTTGTGTAGCCCCTCCCTCCTTCATTTTTGCCGAGCCGCGCTCAGTAAACGCAAACTCGGTTTATCTCTATCAAATCGATTCCGGTGAAGGTTTTGATTACAGATACGGCTATGTTCCAGCTAACTGTAAAACTGAATGTCCCTTCTTTATGCTGATTACCCGAAAATCAGTAATTCAGTTATCTAGAGTGATATTTATGTTATAAATATTTTAAAGTTTTCATATTCGTATTTATATTCATTTGTATCATAAATATAAATGGTATTCGTATTTATATTTTTGAATATAAATATGCCCATCTCTGACCTAGACTTTTTTTTTTTTTTTTCTCTGGCCCCCCTGAAACTTTATTTAACACTACTTACAACATACATCTATGAATGTATATATACATTATTCCTTGACCTTTGCTTACCCAAGGGTATTTTAAGGTAAATGACAGTTTATGCCGTAAGCATAGGATACTTTCTGTGGCCTTAGGCCTTAGGCCTGACCTAGACTAGGTCGCACGGACACTTTTATATGTTCAGGCAAAGGCCATAAACGTTAATAACTCAACGGTCTAGATTTTTCCTTATCTTCAAAGTCATAAACCAAGTCCATAAAGTTGTCTACAAGTTACAAGATTTTGGAGAATTGCACTTCCAGGAAAGTAAAATTTATTATGTTGTTAGTTTAGGCATCTAATTCTTCACTTATCTAATTGTAAGTCTACTACGTATAAATGCTAATAAAGTGAAATTTCATATGGTCTAATTAATGTAAATATTTTTACGTAAACACACTTTATTGTTTGGATTTTCTTTTAACATAATATCTGGAATATGTTCAAACACTTTTCGGTATGCGATTTTTATTAGAATTAACCATTTTTTCTATTAATATCCTCTATTTTGTTGAGCAACGATTATTTTTTTTCATTGTTAATGTTTTCCTCTTTACTACATTATATGAATTAAGAGATGTTAATTGGACGTGTAGAAATTTCATTCCTTTAGAAATTTTAGCATTTTATATAGGTAGCTTTTTCCTTTTTTCTTCCAAAGTAATTACTGTTAAAAAAAATAAAAAAATAAGCCTCCCTGTTCTGGACTGTTCCTTTTGTAAATGTTTCATCAATATTATAAAAGTAATTCTGATATTTTTTCTAGGCTACCGTATATAGTTTAGCAAATTTTTTTTTGTTATAAAACATTTTTAATTTTAACATTTAATTAATAATAAATACACGTTTTCGACTAATTTAAAAAGAAAATCCAGTAATTTTGAAATATGAATAGCTATCAATGTATATATTGATTATCTAGCAAATAGGCGCATCAAAAAAGATATTATCCTCTTAAAATTAATTAAATGAAATATCAATTTTTCTATCCTCCTCTTCCGTAAAATGAATTCCTTGTCTATCTTCGTCATCTCATCTTTTTTTCATTTAACCAATTATGCCTTTCATTCACCCATGGATCGGATTCAGCGAAATTATAAGTTCTTTGACAATCTAGTTTTGGTTTGTTCCTACAAACAAATTTGGGCAAATTGAGTTTATACTCAGAAATCACTCACAATAAAGTTATCTATGTTCCAAGTGAATAAAATTTATTGCAGCTCCTATGGTTATAAATTTATAACCTACTCGAACTATCCATCTCTGCTACACACTACACTCTATATGAGAACAGGCAAGATGAATATAATTTTTTTTCTTATAATCAGATTCGTATAGAGTCAATCCATTTGATATAACCCAATTTGAATTAATTTTGTTGCTCAACATTTTTTATTTTTATATTATTTTTACTACATATTGCAATTTTATTTAATAGGTCAAATGACAATTAAAAATCTAGTGACCGCAACACACAACTTTCACTTACCGCTCTACTTTCAATAGAAATTATTTTTTGGGCGGTGTTGGGCTATTATAAAATTTTTGAAGTGCATTTTATACAGAGCTAAACCTTAAAGCTTAAGGATAAAAAATCATTAATACCATCAAAATTACAAAAACTCTATTTATTATATCGACGGTAGACAATAAAAATATAGTTACTCCATCTGCTTTTATAAACCACATAACTTCTCTGATCTAAGTGTGCCTTTCATTTGACAGAATGACTGACTCCAATTTCAACATTTTTGAGTAATGTAATTTTAGTGATAAACTATTGGGTTGGAAAATAAGTCTTTTCGGTTTTCAGGATGAAATTAAAATCAATTTATTACAGACATAAAATTTATTTTAATATACAATATATTGAACATTATTTAATATGACTTTTCCACATCTTACCACTAACTGCATAATGCCATGATCATAGAATGCCTGGAGTTTATTGTTAAAAAAACCAAGTGGTTTTTGATGTCCTATTTCTTTTAGAATTTCTTTCCATTCATGGAGTTCTGCAAAGACCGGAATAAGTGGTAGTCACTTGGAGCCAGGTCTGGTGAATAGGGACGGTGGGGAAAAAGTCCCATCCAAGGCTCAATAATTTGGCTAGTGTTGTCTTGGTGGAACACTACACCTTTCCGATCATTCATAACTCTTCAGAATCTTCTCCAAATTCGATGTTACTATATCCGTTGGAAAGCTGAACTATTGCTCTTCAAAACCGTATGAAAGTTTTTTTATTTAATGCCTACATAAGGAATAAATAAACAAAAACCCCTTATATGTTTTTATTTTTAATCTCCATTTGTAGGTTGTTTACAAAGGTCCTGGTGATGTAATTTCTTGTAGTTTATGTTGCTCTAAATTCCTGCTAAAAGTTCTTGTAGACACCTAAGTCGACCAATTAAAGTGTTTTTGGATATGGATTAAAATATCTTAGAGAGTAAACATTGGACCTGCATACTGTAAGCCAGGGAAATGTTCAGCATTTCATCCTATTTATAATGAGCTATTATTTATAATTTTTATTTCATATTATTAACCTCGCCTTGTTGATGTTTTTACTTCTATCGTCTGGTCTAAAGCACACACCTTAGTTTTTTTGTCCATTTTCATATTTTTTTAAACCACTTTCCTTTCTTATTATGTGATGTTTTGATGGACAGACAAATATATGAGTATTTCTTATTCTTCCATTATTCCAGTTTTCATTTTGGTTTGATATTTTGAAGATTGAAAAGCAAATATAAAATGGCCGTCGATTAAAAAACTTTGAGCCTTAAATTTTTTTAACTATGGTTTTGAATTCTCGAATAAATATGAAATAACCGGAAATAACAATGTCGAGTTTGGGTGATTTCATATGGATTGAGCTTATACAATCCCTAGAATTTTCGAAATCTTTCGAAAAACGAAAGTCTTAATTTTTATTTTTAAATTTTCTTTTCCTCTTTTATTTTTTAATTCACAACTGTCAATGTCCACTGACAACCAGTGAATGAGATAACTGTACAAATAGACTAGTAGAAAGGGCATGATAGGCATGAGGAAGAGAAAAACCCAGTGGTTTATCTTCAGTCATGTTTGTGGTGAATTAAGGAGATCTCTCATCCAACTCCTTTTCATCCTTCTGCGGATGTTATCGGGCATGTTTTTATTGGCCATGTCTTGGATGAGTCTATTGGGGTGACCATAGAGCTTGTTGTGAAACCTTTTGTAATAAGTTTGTATATGTTCTATGACGGTTTGCATGTGTAAGTCTTTACACATGGAGAGTTATGTTACTAACATACCAAGGTTTTGGCCTGAAATATTTGTAATGTGAATATCTGAACGTGAGTTTTTTGGCAATTCCGTATATTTGTGATGCGTATGTCCAAAGTAGTTTTAGTAAGTAAGTGTAAGTGTTAAGTTTTTGTCTTAGATCTAGTTTGAGTTTAGATCTAGTTCCCAGTAGGGCATATAATAGTCTAAATCGTTGATTTAGTGTCTTTCGCTTAGCAGTGATGTTTGGGCCCCATGTCATCCTTCTGTCAAATGTTAGGCCTAGGTAATGTACTTTGTCAGATTGGGGAATATGTTCATTGTCAAGATAGACAGGAGGGCAGTTTTCGCGTCGGAGTGAAAATGTTATGTGTTGGGATTTGTTGTGATTTAGTTTTATTTTCCAAAGTTTGTACCAGTCGTGTAAGATTTGCAAGTGATTTTGTAAAGTATATGAAGCATGTGTGGGGTCATTATGCCTTGTGATAATAGTAGTGTCATCAGCATAAGTGGCTATCAAAGTTTCACTGGAGAGGGGAATGTCATGTGTGTAAATTATGTAAAGCAGTGGTGCAAGAATTGATCCCTGGGGCACTCCGGCCAGAATTGGTCTGATAGTTGAGATTTAAGAGCCTTGTCGAACAGAGAAAAATCTATTAGAGAGGAATGATTGTAATATAAGATAGTAAGTGGAAGGAAGTATTTTCTTAAGTTTATAAAGAAGTCCCTGGTGCCAGACAATGTCAAATGCCTCAGCAACATCCAGAAATACACCAGTAGCATACATCTTTTGCTCTAGTGCTGTTGCTATGTAATCTGTGACTCTGTGTAACTGTTGAGTGGTAGAATGTAATGATCTAAATCCAAATTGATGATCCGGTAAAATTGTTTGCTCTGATTTTTAAATTAAAATAGTAAACTATAGTAGGGACGATATCGAAGTAGATGATATATTTCGATATTATCGACTATCGTTGGCCATCCTAGTTCCAACTGTCAGATGTAGGTGGCTGTTCTAATGAAACCTACCCCCTGTTTACAGGGCTGACAGTTTCTGTGTTGTCTTGTCACAATTTACTTCACGGTATGTTAATGATTTACATCAGAATGTGATAGTTTTTAATTATCTACTATAAAATTATATGAATACAGAATAATTATTGTTCTATTTGTGTTGTAAAATCTTAATTTTGGATTTAAATATGTGCATATATGTTCTAGTTTTTCCATCAGGATTTCTCCAATTCAACTAATTTAATTACATAAATTACTTGTTTTAGCAATGTTAGTTGGCGGTCATGGTGATTCTAATCCTAATACATCATGGTTAAAGAGTAGAGGAATGTGGTTTAGCTATACAATTGGGATGCTTGTTCTCCACTTAATTATACTCTCTGTACCATTACTTACTGTACCTTTAGCTTGGACTATAACAAATTTAATCCATAATTTGGTAATTCGCTGAACTTATACATATAAAGCAATTTTCATTATTTAAAGTGCATAATAATTTATTATTTTCTTTTGTTTTTAATTTCAGATCCATTTTGTATTTCTTCACATTATAAAGGGGGCTCCTTGGATACCACAAGATCAAGGTGAATCGAGAAGACTTACCCATTGGGAACAAATCGATAATGGAAGACAGTTTACAAAAACCAGAAAGTTTTTGATGGCCACGCCAATAATAATGTAGGTTTTTATCCTGTTTTAATCAATTACATATTGTCGATATTTTTCAAAAATTGTTTTTTGTAGTTTGGATTTCTATCATATTATCAACTTAATTATTTAAAAAGAGGTACTAGTTCTGAATCTCTAGTCCAAGATGGTGGCTAACAAGATCATACTAGACACTCTCGTGATGGAATCCTGAAAGTATTGACAACAATGTTCACAAACAGTGATAGACGTGTTTTGGTTTATATGATTTTATTAATATATTAGGGTATTGATGATAATATTTGTTACAACTGTACAAGTATTGCTGCACTTTGAGGATAGTACAGGATCTCATGGTCACTCTATAAATGCAATTCTAAGTTTGTCTGAAGGTAGAAAGATGTTAACAAGCTGTCTGGTAATGTCTTTATCTTAACTGAAAAAGACGCATTGGGGGTTTGTATATCCCTACTGAGCGAGCATAAGTCAAAAGTAGCACGATGTAGGATACTGAGAATTATGTTTAAAATATAAATTTGATTTTGATTACAGAAGTACTTCAATTCAATCAATCTTTTAATTTAATAACAAGTGTTATGCCGTTTATAGTTATTGTGTCTAATAACCCTTAGATTACAGGTGATCATTGTTGTCCTAAATCTGAAACATAAAAATTCTTTTTACTATATTTTTTTTTTTTCTATTGTACAAATATCATTCCACTTTGGTGAATAACACAATATCTCATGATCATACCATAAGGGGAATCCTGAGAATGGCCTAGTGTGTCCAAAAGTAAACTGAAATGACATAAATGTCTGGTAAAGCCCCTACCTCAACTGAAAAGGACCCGTTGTGAGTTTGTTTTTCCCTTTTCAGTGTTATGAGAGAAAGTTGAAAGCAAATAGTTACTTTGCTGAAGTCCTAAATTTCTATACTGTGATCATGTCATATTCTCAGAACGTCATTTTTAGTTTGATCATGGAGATTGGTCATCTTTATTTTTGGACACCTTTGGTTAGTTTCTGGATTATTTATAAAGTGTGCTCAATTTGATCTTGAAACCAGCTGATCTTCACCTGAATCTGATCAGTGATCTTGGAGTAGTGATTTAGTGATAGTTCCTAAATATTTTTGTAATGTATTATGTATGCATGCTTAGGTTTTTGTGGTATATTCATATTTTTATTTCTATTTTTGAATGGCAATATGTTGATCATTATTTTTTGACCAATCTTCTTATTTTTCTGCAATAAATAAAATAAAATTAATTTGTGGATATAATTCAATTAAAAAATATTAGTTTGATCATTATTTTATCTATAAATAGCCATTGATTATGTAAAACAAGTAAACAGTACTTTGATACTTTCTTATCATTATTTGTCTCTTGATAATTTAAAAACTCCCATTGTTGATAAAAGAATTATAGTTTATTAGCTGAAATCAGATTATTAATTAAATTAATAAAGTCATTCTGTTTTATTCAGGTGCCACCTTACTAGTGTCATTTGTACATGGGCACACTATCATATGGGCATAATATCTGTGTATTTCAATTATTTATTTGATTATAATATATAATTAAGTGTCATGAAATATTTTTAGTCCGACAAGAGTGCCACTGATAAAGAAATCCTCTATATTTATTTATATTTCATTGTGGGTATTTTTATTTGTTTAAGTATTGGTGTATTTACAAATTTTAATTATAAATCACTGTAATCTATATAATTTAATATTAAATAATACCAACGAAAGCATTTATGAAAACGGCATATGTACATTTTTTGTTCATAATTGTTATTCTTAATGAACTTTGTCGCATAGTGAAGTTTGTTTTCTATTTATCTAGATAATACTGTCGGGGTCCATATTATATTAAGCTCATGTCACGTATAGAAGCCTGTTCTAATCTTTCGGATGAGCTCAGGCTCACTTGTATTTCGTTGGTCTCCCTATTACAACTATTCTTTGTTACGATCTCTTACTCATCCTTTAATTAATTATAAAATTCTTTCATATTTTATTTTAAACTATTTTTTATATCAGAGTTCAATGTAAAATGGTTAATTATTTTGAATAAAAAACATTAAAGGAACTATAGAGGAAGAAATATTGAAAATTAGCCATTTAATCTCTGTTAGAGAACATGAATAAGAATGAGAATAAAGTCTACATCATGTTAAAAACTGATATTAACCAACTTTGCACTGATATAATGAATTTAATCAAAATTGTTAGAGCCGTTTTCGAGAAAATCCAAAAAAATGTGTTAAATCGATGATATAAAGTGCCACTTCCGGTTAACCGATTATGATGAAAAAGTTTCTGTAACATCCCAGGCTTATACAACCTTAAATATTCAATTTCACTTTCATATGACTTTTCATTTTTGACACAGACCATTTTGGTGAGAATTGGTTATTTAGACTCAGGAAACCTCAAAACTTATATTTTAGTTGAAAACTTAGATTCGAAAATTTTCACTATCACAATACTTTCCCTTCCTATATATTTCATATGTAGGTAAGTGACAGTAAAAAAAGGCTGAATATTGACAACCATGTTTATTGGTTTATCTTACCTTTATTTAGATCCTATCTATTGACATAAAGAGATAAATAAATCACCAATGGGTTCTTTTCAATCGAGTTTAAGAACTTAGCAGGAGGCTTCATTTCCTCCTTCTACTTCAGAAACACTTATTCCGCTATTTTTGGAATTGCGTCCACGGTGTTATTATGTGGTATTTTGTTCACCCATGATGTTGGAATGACACTTGTTATGTAGTACTATTTTCTTTTTATTCTGTCAAAATTTTATTTAAGAAAAAAGAAGGGAAACATTTTATTCATTAATTACCATTTACAAAAGGTCAGAATTACACGGTATACTTTATCACTTATTATGAACTTGAGATAATTAATCTCTTTCTTCTTATTCAATAATTCTACCTTTCGGTGTAGAGATTTTTGTACAAGGATTTCCATCCGTCTCTGTTGTGTGTTTCTCTCCTGGCTTGCGGCCAACGAATTATTATCTTTAAGAATATTCTTGAGATTATCTTCCCAAGTAAGTCTTGGCCTTCCTCTAGGTCGTTTCCCCATTGGTTTAGCCTCCACCATTTTCTTTGCTAAACTGTGGTCATCCATCCTCATTACATTTCTGAACCATTGAAGCTGCCCTTTCTCTATTATCTGGTTGAGGGGCTCAATTTTTAGTTTAGTCCGTATCGTTGTGTTACATATCCGGTCTCTCTTGGTCTTTTCCTTTATTTTCCTCAGATACCTCATTTCCATGCTTTGGAGGTGGCTGCGATCATGTTGCTTCAGAACCTAGGATTCGCTTCCATAAGTGAGGAAAGGGACGAATGTCAAGTGATAAGCGGCTAATTTTGTTTCTTTTGCCACTTCTCTCGTACATAAAACCTTCCTACTGATGGCAGAGAGCATTCTTCCTGAAGTGGCAACTCTCGTATTAATTTCGATGTTCCCGCTCTCACTCTTCTTGTTTCTGGACACCAGCATACACTTGGTCTCGGAAGTGCTAATGACCATATTTCTTTTTGCTAACTCTTCTGTCCAGACATCTAATTTGCCTGTAACTTTTCTTTACTGTCAGCTATTAGCATAATGTCATCAGGAAATGCAAACGATGAACAGTTGACTGGTTGCAATTCTCAATCCAAGTGGTGTCTCCTTGGTTTTCCTCTTCCATTCCTTAATAACATCATCCATGAATGAGGGTGATGAAATACAGAGGGCTCCCTATGTCTCCCTGCCTGACTTCCATTGTAGTGATAAATTCGGCAGATGTTTGACGTTCTAACATAGTTTCTGCAGGTTGATTTAATTCTCTGTATAAAAGCCTCGGACACTTGTTTATTCTGGAGTGAAACACATAACTCATTCCAAGGTATCCTGTTGAATGCCTTCTCTTAGCACAGGTAAACTTCTTTATCATACTTGATGAATTTCTCACATATTTGGCATAGCGCAAAGATTTTATCTTGAATACTCTTGCCTGGTCGGAAGCCACTCTGTCCCTCTTCCAGTTGATGTTCTAAGATAATTATTTATGCATCAAAAGAGTTTTAGGTAAGTTTTACTGGTTCTATGAAATTGAAATATTTTGTAATTATAATAAAAAAATTTGTCATTGTTAAATTTATTTATTCAATATTTCAAAGACACAAAACACCATTAGATAACGAATCAGGGTATGTGAGACAAGATTTATTAAGTAAAATGATTTTTTTTTTTTATAATAGTTTATTGCCATAATATAAAGGCCATTTATTTATGAGAACACAATGAGTTAAATATTTTCGTACTTCAGTGGTATAGAATTCTTTCCTGTTGTATAATATTTTTCTATAAATTTATGCATGATTACTAAATTACATCGTGAAAAAGACAAGATAAAATGAATAAATAAATATAAATTTACTTAAAGCAATAATAAATAAATTAAATGAAGACTATGTTGCCTACAATTATCTTCTATACAACATTTACAATACTAATTAAGATATGTATAGAAATGGTATTTAGGTTGGTATGGTAGTTATAAATTTTATGTTATCATTTTTGTATTAAATGTTTTCTTGCTACATATTGCCTAGTGCTATTGTTAAGCGAAACAAACTGAACAAGCCTCCTCCTAAAAAAAAAAACAAATACATCCTGAATCCGCTACTTGTCTGTCTAGTAGACAGCTGTAAATTACCTGGGCTTATGTTTGTATAGTAATAATAATAATAATAATAATAATAAGAAGAAGATATGTATAAATATCTAGGAATAGAACAGCATTTAAAAATAGCTAGAAAGGATGTAAAATGTAAATTGATAGGTTCATTTAAAAAAAGACTAAAGATCATCCTTAGAACACATCTTTCTTCAGGTTTAATGATAGAAGCTATAAATACATGGGTTATTCCTTCCTTATCTTACAGCTTTGGAATTCTAAAATGGTCCACAACGTTGCTCCAGGAATTGGATAGGTTAATAAGAACAAGTATGACG